AGCTACCACTTGGGCTCTAGGGAAACGGAAAAGGAGCGAGCCTGCCTCGGGCTACCAGGGGGGCCTGCTGACTCCGGGCAGGATTACACCTCCTGGCCCTAGCCTTTTCTAAACCATCTCGGACAGGCCTGGGTTGAGGATCAGTCGCTCCAGAGCGTTCCAGAACGCTCTCAGAGGATTCCTGAGCGCTGTGGAACGGCCGCGCCATTCGGCAGCTTTAATACTATAGCAAGAATATAGCGGGGGTGCCTCCCCCCCATGGGCCACACCATGGCCATGTCGCCAAGACCGCCCAAATGGCCGCTAAGATGCGTCCTCGTCCGCCGAAGCCCCTCAAGATGGCCCTACTATCCTGCTTGGTGGCTTCTACGAAGGCAGGGAGCCCTCCCTGCTTCTAAGAGGCCTCCCTAGACGCCTCCGTGCCCTTCTGTGAAGGACCTTGCTTCAGAAGTCCCTTGGCCTCTTTTGGAGGCCGCCCCCCCGTTGCGTTGCTTCCTTCTGCGCGCCGCCGGCTTCTCCCTCTCGTCCTCCTCCTCCTCCTCCTCCTCCTCCTCCTCCTCCTCCTCCTCCTCCTCCTCCTCCTCCTCCCCCAACCCTTCCTCCCTTCCCTTACATTGAGAGGGCTTGAAGCGTAACGCTCGCAGAGTTCGGCCTCCTCCTTCTCCTTCTTCTCCTCCTCCTCCGTTTCCTCCTCATCCGCTTCCTCCTCCTCCTCCTCCTTCTCCTCCTCCTCCTCCTCCACCTTTGCCTCCCCCTCCCCCTCCTCCTCCTCCTCCTCCTCCTCCTCCTCCTCCTCCTCCTCCTCCTCCCGCTCCCCGCGTCCTGGCTTCCCCCTCTTCGAAGGGCATCGGCGACGCCGCATGGGCACGACGGCTGCGGGCTTTGCCGCTGCCCTCGCAGTCCTGTCTGGAGAGCTCCTCTCCCCCGCCGTCGAGTCCCGAGCGCTGAGTCTCCAAAGCCCCTGGCAGCAGCACGGGCCGAGCGATCGGCACGACCGACATGGGTACGGAAAGAGTGGGCGCAATGCTCAACAGCAGTTCCTGCTCATTTTGAACAGGGCTCGCTGTCGGTGTCGCCGCGGCCTGTGTCAATTTGAGGCAGAAGGCCGCCTGCCCAACAGCGGCCGCTGTAAGTTTGGGGACAACATTTGTTGTTGGGGATTGCACCCATTCTTTCCGTACCAAAATCGGGCATCGAAAGAGCGAGGGGGGGGGGGGCGGTGGTAGGAGCACAGGGGGCGGGGAGAGCGTGTCCGCCACCACGCTGCCGCGCAGGCCCGGACCTCGGCGCACATGCCGGCTCCTGGCCTGGCCGAGAGGCCACACCGACGCTCTCCGGGCAGGGCTTGGTGCCTTCGGCGCGCCTCGGCCCTCGGCGGAAGCGGGCGGGAGCACAAAGGAGGCGGTTCCGCCAGCAGAAGGCGGCGGACACAGGAGGGAGACGACTTCGTTTCGGGGTCCAGGGCTTCTGGAGGCAGCCATGCCTGGCAAGATCTTGGCCAAGAACGGACTCCTTCGGCAAAACGAAACGCCATGCACATAATCTGTTGGCGCTCCGCGCGGATTTCCTGGATCCGCGCTGGACCCCCCCCGGCGCCGCCTCCGGCGCCGCCCCTGGCGCGCACTGCGCGCCAGGGAGGGGGGGTCCGGCGCAGATCCAAGAAATCCGTGCGTTGCGCCCGAAGCTTGCGTTTCTATGGCTTTTTGTTCTTCTTCTGCTGACAGCCCTGTCTGCCAAGATCTGGACCAAGAACGGACGCCCGGAGTCCTGGCTCGGGTGAGCTCTCAAGACTGGGATCCATCGCCCCAGAGCGCTCCGGAACGCTCTCGCAGGGCGTTCTTGGGAGCGCGGCCGTGGCGCCCGGTGCGTCCTCCGGAGCGGCAGGGCCTCCAAGATGCCCAGTGCTCCTCCCGATCCGATTATGTCCCGACCCTGGCGTTTGTTGTTGTTGTTGCTGTTGTTGTTGTGGTTGTGGTTGTGGTTGTGGTTGTGGTTGTTGTTGTGGTGGTGGTGGTGGTTGTTGTTGCTGCTTCTGCTGTTGCTGTTGCTGTTGTTGTTGTTGTTGTTGTTGTTGTTGTTGTTGTTGTCGTTGTTGTTGTTGTTGTTGTTGAACATTATTAATTCTAAAGAATAATTATTGTTGGGGCCCCTGGTGCGCGCCCCCCCCGCCGCGCCTAGGCCGCAGCCTCATTTTCATAATTTTCGTGAGGAAGCCTCAGTCAAAACGATGTGATCCAGATCCGGTTGTTTTGTTGACGCCCGCTTTCCCTGTCAAAAAACAATATAAAATGACATGTCTTGTTCTAACATAACCAAACTTCAAGAATCCTTTGCAAAAAATAAGGTAAAGTGGACATTCGCGCGCGCAAGACGAAATCCTTCCAAAACCTTATTTTTCGTCACGATATTAACATAAAAACATCAAAAAACCATTTTTTTTTTTTTTTTTTTTTTTTTTTATATAATATATATATAAAATTTCATCCCGCGCGCTCTTGCGGATTCGTAGGAAACCCAACACTTTTTAAACATTTCTGTCAAACGGGCTTTTGCGAGCAACTTTTTCGAACTTCTGCAACAACGGTTGCGCACCTGCCAGGGCCATCATCCCTGTCAAATAATACCATGCGGGACACATTCGTTTTTTCTTCGCGCGCGCACGCCGTCGTCGTCGGCCGCGGGGCCCTGAATAGTAGCCACGGTCGTCCGCATGCCACGAAGTGAAGTGTCCGAACGTCATAGGGCGGGAAGCTGGGTGTGGGTGGTGGCGAAGAGTCGTTTGGAAATTTGGTAGAGCTTGAACCGGCCCCCCCACAAAGTGGGGGTATTGCCCGCCTCCTATGAAAACCCTGGCACTGGTGAGAACGGAGTGTCCCCACGTGCTAGTAATTGTTGTTGTTGTTGTTGTTGTTGTTGTTGTTGTTGAACATTATTAATTCTAAAGAATAATTATTGTTGGGACCCCTGGTGCACGGCCCCCCCGCCGCGCCTAGGCCGCAGCTACATTTTCATCATTTTTTCGCGAAAGCTTCAGAAAAGTGGATGGGGTCCAGATCCGGTTGTTTTGTTGTAATCCGTTTTCCCTTGCAAAAAACACTATAAAATGACATTTCTTGTTCTAATATAATCAAATTTCAAGAATCCCTTGCAAAAAATAAGGTAAAGTGGACATTCGCGCGCGCAAGACGAAATCCTTCCAAAAGCTTAGTGTTCGGAGCGATTTTAACATAAAAACATCAAAAAACCAATGGTTTTTCAACAAAAAAATGTCAAAATCTCATCCCGCGCGCTCTTGCGGATTCGTAGGAAACCCAACACTTTTTAAACATTTCTGTCAAACGGGCTTTTGCGAGCAACTTTTTCGAACTTCTGCGACAACGGTTGCGCACCTGCCAGGGCCATCATCCCTGTCAAATAATACCATGCGGGACACATTCGTTTTTTTTGCGCGCGCACGCCGAAATCTCCAAAAACCATTGGGTTCTTAAGAATTTTAGCACCGCGCATCATAAAATCACACGAATCGCACCGTAGGTCCTCGAAAAACACCTGCACGACTTTTCAAAATTTCCACCCGCGCGCGCTGTCCGAATCCTAAAACAACCAATGGTTTTCCACATCCCTCAGGAATTTGCCCTAAAGATGTGATCAACTATCTTGTGAGTACGTATCATGTGTATCATGTGTATCATGTACCATATGCATCATATGCAACAGATGTTCTGTGGAAGGCTTAACAACTTCTGTGGGTTAACAAGGCTTAACAACTTCTGTGGGTGTACGAACGTAGGCTTAACAACTTCTGTGGGTGTGTACTCCACGCCAGTGTAGTAGCCACGGTCGTCCGCAGGCCACGAAGTGAAGTGTCCGAACGTCATAGGGCGGGAAGCTGGGTGTGGGTGGTGGCGAAGAGTCGTGTGGATATTTGGTAGAGCTTGCACTGCCCCCCCACAAAGTGGGGGTATTGGCTGGCGTCGCATGAAAACCCTGGCACTGGTGAGAACACTGAGCGTTCGGGTAAAGTGATTGTTGTTGTTGTTGTTGTTGTTGTTGTTGTTGTTGAACATTATTTATTCTAAAGAATAATTATTGTTGGGACCCCTGGTGCGCGGCCCCCTCGCCGCGCCTAGGCCGCAGCCGCATTTTCATCATTTTCGTGAGGAAGTCTCAGGCAAAACGTGGGTGTCCGGATCCGGTTGTTTTGTTGTCCCCCGTTTTCCCTTGCAAAAAATAAGCTAAAGTGGACATTTCTTGTTCTAACATAACCAAACTTCAAGAATCCCTTGCAAAAAATAAGGTAAAGTGGACATTCGCGCGCGCAAGACGAAATCCTTCCAAAACCTTAGTGTTCGTAGCGATTTTAACATAACAACATCAAAAAACCAATGGTTTTTCAAAAAAAAATGTCAAAATTTCATCCCGCGCGCTCTTGCGGATTCGTAGGAAACCCAACACTTTTTAATCATTTCTGTCAAACGGGCTTTTGCGAGCAACTTTTTCGAACTTCTGCAACAACGGTTGCGCACCTGCCAGGGCCATCATCCCTGTCAAATAATACCATGCGGGACACATTCGTTTTTTCTTCGCGCGCGCACGCCGTCGTCGTCGGCCGCGGGGCCCTGAATAGTAGCCACGGTCGTCCGCATGCCACGAAGTGAAGTGTCCGAACGTCATAGGGCGGGAAGCTGGGTGTGGGTGGTGGCGAAGAGTCGTTTGGAAATTTGGTAGAGCTTGAACCGGCCCCCCCACAAAGTGGGGGTATTGCCCGCCTCCTATGAAAACCCTGGCACTGGTGAGAACGGAGTGTCCCCACGTGCTAGTAATTGTTGTTGTTGTTGTTGTTGTTGTTGTTGTTGTTGTTGTTGTTGTTGTTGTTGTTGTTGTTGTTGTTGTTGTTCAAACGCATTTTTTTGTTTTTTTGCTTTATTGTTCTCTCCCCCACGGAGTCCTGGTGGCGGATGCCTCTCCTCCGCCCGAGGGCGGCGCGAGGGCGCGGGGAGGACCCCGCCGCGTCGGTCACCGCGAAGAAGGCCCCGGTGCTCCTGGCGAGCACGAGGCCAAGGGTGGTGGCTCGGGACCACATGGAGAAGGCGGGGCCCGCTCTGCCGCCCCTCCTCCCGCCATCTCTTTTCCTCGGGGGTAACGATAGAGGGGGATGGGCATAGGGCCCCCAATTGCCCACTGATCGCGGATAGGGGCCCGATAGCCCCAACCTGCCCAGGAAGGTTTCGGATTCACTGTCGGGGGCCTATCGCCGATCTATCGGCGATGTATCGCCGATTCCAGGTTGATGATTCCCCCCCTATGCCAGTCCCCCCTATCGTTGCCCCCTATTTCCGTGGGGGAAGGGGGAGGATCCTTTTACCTCCCGCTTTCGAGGTCGTGATCCTTCGTCTTCTCTCATCACCTCCTCCCCTCCTGTTTGTCTGTCTGTCATTCTTTACTTGAAGAAGAGAGATCGCCATACACAGACTTTTGGCGCTCCGCACGGATTTCTTGGATATGCTCTGGGGCCCCCTGGTGCGCTCCGCGCGCTAGAAAGAGGGGTCTGGCGCAGGTCCCAAAAATCCGCGCGGAGCGCCAGAAGTTTATGTTTCTGGCGTTTTTTTTTTTTTTTTTTTTGTTCTTCAGGTTTATGTTCCGTACGTTTTCCTTCACACGTTGAAGCAAGTAACGGCCTGTGGTTCCTGGAGCGGTGCTTCAGTGGCCGCCGTGCTTTAAGTATGGCACCCTCCCAGGGATGGCCGTCCCTGGAGGGGGGGCGGCAGTCCGAAACTTTGAACGCCGTCGGGAATCCGGAAGCAGGAGGCACTAGTGGGATCCCAAGATGCGTCAGCGATGTTGCAAGAAGCCCTCCCCCCAAGCTTTCCTCTTCATTTGGTCCGTACCCGAACTGGTTTCGCTGCGCGAAGTGGCCCACTGGACGACAACCGTCTGATAATCACCCGTCGTACCAAGAAAGGTTCTTGGGATGTCAACTCCGCGGATCAGCGCGGCTTCCGCGTTTTGGCAATCCCAAGTCGTGGCGGAGCACCGTTCCTGTGACTCCAACGCCGCGCAACAACGTGACTGACTCCAATGCCACGAAACAACGTGACTCCAACGCCGCGGAACAACGTGACGTCGCTCCAGGACGCCACCCCTGGGATTCCAGCCGTACGAATCCTTGAGCCCACTGCAGTTTTTCAAGACGAAGGTGGGCAGCGCTGAAGGCGAGAGCCACATTTCGAAAACGACCCGCCCTCCATGCGCTAAATTGTTTTTCATTCTCGCAGCGTTTGTGTGCGCGGCGCTGAGGCGAAGCCGCATGTTGAAGAGAACCCGCCCTTCATCCGTGAAGCTGTTGCTGGCATTCAAGACGAACGTGCGCGGCGCGGAGGCGAGAGTCACATTTCGACAAGGACCCGCCCTCCGTCCGTGAGGCTGTCGCAAACTGTTATGGCCGGTTGCCACATATAGAGAACAACGCGTTGCGCTGCGAGCGCCACTGCTAAGCATCTCTAAGAGCTGCACGGGCCGTCCGTTTTCGAAGCGTGGGTCATTGCCAAGCGCCGGGCAGATTCGCCGTACAGGTTCCGTACAGCTATGGCGGTGCTCCTGCTCAAGATGCGGCTTTCGCAGCCGACTTCTTTGGACGTTGCTGCCATGCTTTTTCTTGGTGTGTGTTTTTCTTCCAAACGCCTCCACGGGGTGGAGGGCGATGCTGTTTTGCAAGTGGTCCGCGTGTGGGTTTCCTCATCACTCCGTGGAAGAAGCTTGGGAGCTTCCAGTCAGGCCAGCCACATCCGGCCGCGTAGCGACGCAAGCGCAATGAACTTGAGAGGAAGCCTCCATGGGAACAAACAACACACACAACTGTGGGAAACAAAACACACACTGTGGGGAAACACACACACACGTGGGAAAACAACAAACACACAGAAACACAAAAACACATTTTGTGTGAACAAAAACACACGGTGTGTGTGTGTGTGTCTTTTCACACAAAACGTATTTTTTCCCACTGTGTTTTTTGTTGTGTGTGTTTTTTCCCACTGCAGCTTGTCGAAATCTCAGGGAAAAAGTGCGTGGCGTCGGGGCGACAGCACGACTGTGAGATGTCGCCGCCCTCCGTCCAGGCATCTCTGCGAGCGTCATGCTGCCAGGTCGGCAGAAGAAAGGAGGTCCGAGGCGAGAGCTCGACTTTGAACAAGAGCCTCCCTCCACCCCTGCAGCTGCTGGAACTTCCGACCAGAAAGGTCACGACACGTATGAGCCCTATGGTGAAACAAAATGAGGTGCTATCGCTGTATCGCATGTTTCCGAAAACTGGGCTTTCACCACACTGGGATGCGACTCATGGCCAGGGCCTTGGCCAGAAAAACAAAACCCTCCTTTCTTGGGAGCGTCCCGCATGGCAACGCGATGACTCCACTGCAGCATCAGTGGTGTGTGCTGGGTTTACTCCAGACCTCCTTTTCCCTCCCCAGAGAAGTCCACGGCGCGCATAATGGAGGATGACGATTAATAAATGACCGGGGGTCGTGTTCACGCGGCGGCGCCCGGGATGACGATTAGAAAAAACCGGCCGCGGGCTGGACAACTAGGTTTCAAATCGTTCTCCTCTAGTTATAAACTTGTGCAGAAATAGCAGGAAACTTTTTTTAACCGTTCTCCCCCATTTTTTATTCATCGTCATCCCGCATTACGTATCAACTTTCGGAGGCCCGCGGTGGTGTCTTGGATCGGCGCTGGACCCCCCTCCCCGGCTCCCGGAGCGCGCCCGCGGCAGCGCCAGGAACGCCGCCGGGCGGGTCCGGCGCCGCTCCGCGCGGACCTCCGAGGCCAGACCCCCGGCGGCGTGACTTTTTCTCAACGTCGACCCCCCGATCGGAGGGCACCAACTATACACCAACACCGATCCTGGCCCAGGATCACCCTGGGCCCAGGATCGGTGTATATGCCTTCTTGCGCAAGGCAGGAGGGCGTATACACCGATCCTGGGCCCAGGGTGATCCTGGCCAGGATCGGTGTTGGTGTATAGTTGGTGCCTTCCTACCCGAGGTCGGGACCCCTTCCCCGGAACTGGTTCTTCATCCTGGCCCGCTTTCTGGCGGCCCCGAGGCCCGGCAAGGGCCCCCTCGGAGGCCGAAGATAGCGACGAACCGTCCGTCGTTTTTTTGTTTTTTGTTGTTGTTGTTGTTGTTGTTGTTGTTTTTTTTTGTTTTGTCACGACGCGAGGGGGGCTGGGAACGCTCATGCCTGTACGCGTTCTTTTTCTTCTTCTTCTCCTTATTATCCTTCTTCTTTCTCTCCTCCTTTTTTTTTTTTTTTTCTTCTTCTTCTTCTTATTATTATTATTATTATTATTATTATTATCATTCTTCTTCTTCTTCTTCTTCTTCTTCTTCTTCTTTCTCTTCTTCTTCCTCTTCTTCCGTCCTTCGCCCTCTGCTCGTCCTGGCCCCTTCGCCTGACGCTCCCCCATCCCCCTCCTCCTCTTGCCTTCCTCCTGCCGGCCTCGGGCCGGCCTCCGGGAGGCGGGGCGGGCGGGCGGGCCCAGCAGCCGCCCTCGGCTCGGGCACCCCGCCGCGGCGCCCGCGCACGGCCCTGGCCCCGTCGGCGCTGCCGGGGCGCTCTCGGGCCCTGAGCGCCGCCGCTCTCGGCCCAGCTCCTCCTCCGGCTGCTCCTCCTGCTGCTGCTCCTCCTGATCCTCCGGCTCCTCCTCCTCCCCCTCCTCCTCCTCCTCCTCCTCCTCCTCCTTCACCTCCTCCTCCTCCTCCTCTTCCTCCTCCTCCTCCTCTTCCTCCTCCTCCTCCTCCTCCGCCTCCTGCTCGTCACCCTCCTCCTCCTCCTCCTCCTCCTCCTCCTTCTCTTTGTCACCCTCCTCCTCTTCAGGCTCCTCCTCCTCCTCCTCCTCCTCCTTCTCCTCCTCCTCCTCCTCCTTCTCTTCGGCTCCCCATCTTCCCCCCCCCCTTGCCCGCTCTCCCTCCTGCTCCTCCTCTCCCCCTCGCCGTGCAGCACCGCCTGCTCCTGGGCCCCTTCGCCCTCGAGGGCAGTGGGGTCCTGCGGGCAGCGGGTCCTGTGCTCTCCTGCCGTTTCGAGGCACCCGCGGCCCCCCCCGGGCCCCAGGGCCACAAAGAGCACATAATGTATTTTTGCACAAAGGTTAAGGTCATAAACAGCACCAGCAGTTTTAGGAGATACGTACAAATTAAATCAAACACAGGATAACATGGGCGGCGAATTTGCTGAAGAGTTAAAGGAAAGCTTGGACTGATGCAGAGCTGGTCCCCAGGAGGTCCCTGGGCTCCTCCAGGGCCCGCTGCCCTCGGGATCCCGGAGCCGCGTCCCTGGCCCAGCGATCTCTCCTCTCGTGCGCCTTCTCTCCTTCGACCCTGGTCGCTCCCCCTCGTCCTCCTCCCGCTCGTCGCGGTGCTCGTCCCGGCTCCGCCTCTCGTGGCCCCCGCGCTGCTGCTCCTCCCCCTGCGCCTCCCCATCCCTCCCCCGTGCTTCCTGCTCCCCACCCTGGCCCTCCTCCTGCTCCTCCTCCTGCTCCTCCGCCTCCTCCCCTCCTCCCTCCTGCTCCTCCTCCTGCTCCTCCGCCTGCTCCTCCTCCTGCTCCTCCCTCCTTCCCCCCCCCTCCCTCCTCCTGGCACCGCCGGGCGGCGGCGGCATGCTGCCGGGCGCGGCGCGGCGCGCGCTGGCAGGCGGGAGCTCGGCGCCTCTCGTCCGGCGGCGAGCGCGGGCCGAGCGAACATGCCAGGGTGCCCCCCTGGGGGGGGGGGGAAGGAGGGAAATCTGTGCAATCGACATGGGTACGGTGTGTCAAGCAGTGGCGAAGCGTCCTGGCTCGCCTATAGCCCTACCAAACAGTGTTCTAAGAACCTTCTGTGGTTTCCACGAAATGTTCTTAGAACATTTCTGGTTGGGACTGTCGTGTTCGAACACCTCGGGTTTATGTTCTGAGAACATTGTTTGTGTTCTTAGAACATTTGTTTGTTCTAAGCAAATTTCGTGGTAGGACTATAGGAATGCCGGTACGGTCGGCCCCTGCTCAAAGTGTGGGCGTTGGTCAAGATTTGTGCCCAGGAGGTTGGCCTGAGGTAGGTGGCCCAGCAGTAGGTTCCTGCCAGCAGGACGGTGGGGGCGTGGTTCGGGGTTCGGGGTGGAGGAGGGAGGAGGAATGAGGAGGAGGAGGAGGAGGGTACCCTTGGATGTTGAATTGGCCAGCGGAGGGTCTCGTGTTCGTGGGGGACGTTCTTCTGGCTTAGGTCCGACTGTCGTCTCCGCGCGCGGCCAGCGAGCAGGAGTGCCTGCAGGGAGCCACGGGGCAGGTCGCCGAGGTCAGGCAGGCCCGGGGCCCAGAGCCCAGAGCCCAGAGAGCAGGGCTTGTGGCCGCCTCGGCGGCGGGGCCAGGGCAGAGTGCGGGGCGGAGGGCCAGATCCGTGCTCAGTGTCTCTATCTATCCTCAGGCTGGGGCCGGCAACCAGCCAGCGAGCCAGGTGAGCAAGACTCGGCCGGGGCTGGGACGAGGCCGGATCCGTTCCAGCGTGCTCCGGGCCGAGAGAGGCCGCGGTGCCCGAGACGGCCTCCAGAGCGGCCGGATCTCAGATTTTCTCGAGGCATCCTCGCCCGATGTTGTCCTCGTCCTCGCTGCTTCCTGCGCCCAGGGCCCGCGCCGCCCGGCGGAGGAAACATCCACAGCGCACAGGACGAGCGGCAGACGGCAGCCGGCGGGGGCGCTCGGCCCCGAGGACGGGGCCGAGGCTGGCCAACCAGGGCACGGCGGGCGCAGTCGACGCGGACGCGGGCGGCAGGCTTTCGGTCGGCGGCGGTGGCCGTGGCCCACCGCGGCGGCGCGGCCCACCGCGGCGGCGCGGGCGCAGCTGCAAGGCACGAGCGGCGCTCGCAGCAGAGCGGCCGGGGACTTGTGCGCCGTGGCCCAGCAGCGCACCAAGCAGCTGCTTCTCAAGCACTGGCGAAGCGTCCTGGCGTGCCGGTAGGCCTGCCAAGCAAGGCTCCGAGAACCTTTTGTGGTTTCCACGACATGTTCTCAGAACATTTCTGGCTGGGACTGTCTTGTTCTCACACATCGGGTGCATGCTCTAAGAGCATTGTTTTTGATCTTAGAAAATTTGTGGGTTCTAAGAACATTTCGTGGTAGGACTATAGGAACGCCGGGGCAGTCGGTCTCTGCTCAAGTTCCTGCGGCGCGGGGAGCCGCCACGCGCGGGGGCGGTGCCACCGCGCTCCTGTCGGGCCAGCGCCAGGAATCCCCTCCTCGTGACCTGTGCGCATCTGACGCGCAGTGCTCAGGAGGAAAAGAAGCACACAGACACAATTAATTTTCGATTCCCCAGAAAATATGGGAAAATATGGGAAGTGGGGGGGAAGACGAGAACCCCAAAACTATTGGAAAATATAGGGAATCATTTTATTAGTGTGTATTTATTTGTGTGTCCTGGGGCCCGTTTAAGTGCACCCGAAAGGGACCCACGGCCGACTCACGACTGCTTCAAGCACGCATCCCGCGCGCGCAGGAGCCGGTCGCCGCTGCGACGCCACGACATCACAGCACGACAGCGCCCGCGGCACCTGCCGCGAGAGGAGCGGCCCGAGGGCCGCGCCCCGCGGAGGAAGGCGGACGAGCTGCCTCCGAGGCGCAAGAGGCGGCGGGCCGCGGCGGGGTGCGGCGGCGGCCCGGGGCCGCGAGAAGTGTTTCAGAGGGCAGCGCGGCAGCGCCGCGGAGGAAGGCGCGTCCAGGCTGCGCGGGGGGTCCTGCGGGCGTCCGCCTGCGCCGCTGTCGGTGCGAGGTGCGAGGGCGACCCGTCGCCCGAGCCCCTGTCGTTGCCCTGAGGCCACCTGCCGTGCAGTCGGGGCCGTGACCCAAGGAGCCCAAAATGAGGAGCGAGGCCCCTTTTTTCCACAGGTTAAACTTCGATTTCCGATCGAAGACATAAGGAACACCTGAGGCAAGCTGCGAAACACTTAAGGAACGCGGAGCCCCTCCCCAACGAAAAGGGTTCCTTCTTCAGGGCCCCGACTGTACCAATTGTGTGGGGCACGGTTGTGGCCATCCCCGTGCTCCCAAGACGGGCAGTTGTTGCTGTGCTCCTGAGGATGTCTGCTCGATCCGCTCCTCGATCCTGTGCCTCCCTTGGGTTGGCGTGGCGCGTCGGATGCAGGAGTGCCCATTCGGCTTCAGTAGTGCTGGGATTGTATTGAGCTGATTTGAAGTCTGCACTTTGCTGAACAGATTCGTCCCTCTTCTCGCACTGTGAGCGCACGTGGGCTTTACGTTCGTTTTCGAGCCCCCCGCGAGGCGCGCCGTAACGGGCAATAACAGGGCCCACGTCTTGTGACGGGCGAGAAAAGGGCCAACGACCTGCGACGGGAACGCTGCAAGTGCAGTCATACGCACTGCCAGATGGACAGTCAGCGTTGCATACTTGTGTTTTCCCTGAGTCGATTGCTGAAGCAAGTCTCCCTCCACCTCCTCCTTTGCGGGAGGGGGGTCAACAAGGAAGAGAACGGAGGCGGCGGGACGAGACGGGCGGGAGGAGGGATGTGGGATAACGGAGGCAGGATGCGGGAGGGGCAGGGGCGAGGAAGAAGGGGGAGAAGGGGAATGGGAGAGAAAAACGAGCAGCACTCTGAGCGGGGGAAGCAGGAGGGGATGGAGACGCATCAGGAAGGAGGACATGGAGGAGCAGGAGAAGGAAACGGGAGCGTCACCGTCCTCCTCCTCTCCGTCCTTCCCCCGGGGTGGCCCCTGGGATGGTCGCGCGGCCCAAGAGCGGCGAGTGTTAAGGCGGGCGGCACACTGTCCCCTGGCTTGGCTCCAAGGACTGGGACGCCTCCGCCAACTCTTACGTCGGGCCTGTCCCCCTACAGGGGGATATTCGACGAACAAATAAAAATACCCCCAACATAGTCCAAAAAGGTGAGCAAATATTTAAGAAATAGTCCCCAGACTCTTTTTGGAGTATATTTTGATTATTTTTTGGGTATTTTTTATTTTTCGTCGAAAATCCCCCTGTAGGGGGACAGGGGGACAGGCCCGACTTAAGCCAACTCCCTGCTTTCCTTCCTCCAATCAAGCAGGCCAGGGAGACTGGCCCCTCCCCCTCCTCCCCCCCCACCTCGGCCCCTCTCCCTCTCTCCCCTCCGCCCCCCCGTCCCCTCCCCCTCCCGCCCTGCCCTCCTCTCCGCCCTCCCTTTCCGCCCCTCCCCACCCACTGACGACGGGCTCGTCCTCCAGTCGGGCCCCGCCCCCCCAAGGGGCGCCCCCCCCGCCGACTCGCCAGATTGGTGTGCCCTTTCTTCTCTCTGTTCCTTCCCCCTCGCAGCTCCTCGCAGCGAGCGCACGAGATCCCGCTGCCGCTCCCCCCCTCCCCCTCCTCCTCCCCTCCCTCCTCCTCCCTCCTCCTCCTCCTCCTCTCCTCCTCCTCCTCCTCCTCCCCTCCTCCTCCTCCTCCCTCCTCCTCCTCCTCCTCCTCCTCCTCCTCCTCCTCCTCCTCCTCCTCCTCCTCCTCCTCCTCCTCCTCCTCCTCCTCCCTCCTCCTCCTCCTCCTCCTCCTTCCTCCTCCTCCTCCTCCTCCTCCTCCTCCTCCTCCTCCCCTCTCCTCCTCCTCCTCCTCCTCCTCCTCCTCCTCCTCCTCCTCCTCCTCCTCCTCCTCCTCCTCCTCCTCCTCCTCCTCCTCCTCCTCCTCCTCCTCCTCCTCCTCCTCCTCCCTCCTCCTCCTTCCCCCCCCTCCCCCCCTGAAAAGAGAGCCCCCGGCGAGGACCGGTGAGGGCGGCAACGGCTTCGCGTGCCTGGACCCCCCGGCCAGGGGCTCTGTGGCGGGACCAGCACGTGACCTGGAGGTCTCGTCGTCGTCGTCGTCCTTCTCTTCCTCGGTCCTCGTCCTGCTCCCCGTGCTCGTGCTCCTCCTCGTGCTCCTGCTCCTCCTCGTTTTCCCTTGTGCTGCTGCTCCTCCTGATCTCTCTCTCTCTCTCTCTCTCTTTCCTCGTCCATCATCCTCATCCTCATCATCATCATCATCATCATCATCATCATCATCATCATCATCATCATCATCATCATCGTCGTCCTCCTTCTCATCATAACCGTAATCATCATCATCCTCATCATCATCACCACCACCATCATCATCATCATCATCATCATCATCATCATCATCATCATCATCATCATCATCATAATCATCATAATCATCACCACCATTAGCATCATGAACACCACCATCACCATCACCAGCATCACCATCATCGTCACCATCATGATCATCGTAATCAGCATCATCGTCACCATCACTAATATCATCAACACTACTACCATCACCATCATCAGCATCACCATCATCGTTTTCATCATCATCACCATCAATCTCACTACCACCACCATCATCATCACCGTCATCATCATCACCAGCATCATAAGTAGCATCATTGTTATTATTATTCGCATGCTATATATATTTTCAGTATCATTGTAATTCTTATGTGTACCTTATATGTTACTATAAGTAGGATTCGTAGTGCTATTCATCTTACGTGTACCTGTATGGTTATCAGGTGTCGCATCACCAATCGCATCTTAATTTTATTACTGCTTGAACTTGTTATCATTATGTTTAGCATCCATGTGTCCATGTTGTTTGGTATTGTTCACCATGTTTTTCTTTTTGTGATGAGTGTATTCCCATGTTTAGTGTTACGATTTGTTCGTAACCTCATCATTGTTATCATTCATGGCATTGCCAGTATCATTGCTCATCGTTGTTGCTATTATTATTTGTTGTTCGCATTTGTAGTATTGCCAGTCTTGTTACCACAGTTCTTAGTAACATGCTTTACCATTCGTATTATTGGTCGTATGTTTATTGTTGCTGTTGGCATGGCTGTTCTGCTTATTCTTACCAGTATAAATATTAGTATTACTATTATTATAGTGCTGGTTATTCTTCTTAGTATTATTCATACGATTATTATTATCGTCAGACTCCTCGTCGTCGTCGTCGTCATCCTGATTATGATCCTGGTCCTGATCCTGATCCTCATTCTCATCCTCACCCTCATCCTCACACTCCTCATCCTCATCCCCATCCTCATTCTCATCCTCATCATCATCCTCATTCACCTCCTCCGTCTGATCCTGATCCTCATCCTCATCCTCACCCTAACCCTCATCCTCCCTTTCTCCCTCTCTTCTTCCCATCATCGTTCTTCTGATTCCTCCCTCCTCATCTGTTCCTTACTTCTCCATGTCCTCTTACATCCTCCATATCCGCGTCCTCCCCTTCGAAGTCCTCCCCCTCCTCCGTCCTGTTCCTCCTTCCCCCTCTTCCTCTTCCGCCTCATTTCCCTGCCCTCCTGGACGCCTAGCCGCCTTCTCCTCATCCTCGTCATCCTCGTCACCCCTCCCCCGTCCTTCCGCGCCGCTGTCCTCATCGTCTTCTTCCCCATCCTGCTCTCGGGGCGGACGACAGGCAGAGGGGGGGGTGGGGGTACGTCATCTGCTGCAGACAGCTCGTTTCGGCCCCGCCGCCCGGCGCGCTCCTCGATGCGTGGCCACCTCCGGCTCACCCGGGGGCGCCTGGAACACCGGAGGCCTGCAGCTGCTCCGCTGGCCCTCTCTCTCTGCTATCCCTCCCCCCGTTCGCCCGCCCCGGTCCTCCCATCCCCCCTTCTGCTCCCGCCCCCCCCCCCCCCCTGCACCAGAGACCGTCGCACGCCGACCGCGCGCCCCCCCCCCTCCCGGGGCCGCCGGAGAGCTCCAGACGGGCTGCCGCGGTGTGCAGTCTCCCCCCCGCGCGGCCAGGGGAGGCATGGGTCTGCACCCCCGCGCAGGCCGGCTCCCGGCACGCGCGGGCGTGCCTCCCTGCTCGAGGCCAGGGCTCTCGGAGGAGGGAGGAGGGAGGAGGGAGGAGGGAGGAGGGAGGAGGGAGGAGGACCTGGCAGGCTGGGGGGCGGCCGCGTGCGCGCTCGGCAGCCCGAGTCTTGGGAGGCAAGCTCGGGGGCAAGCGTGCGCCTCCTGCCCCTGCCGCTGCGCTCCGCTGCCCTGTCCAGCGAGCTGCGCGTGGCAGGAGGCGGCGAGCCCTGCTCCGGGGAGGCGGCCGCCGCCCCCTGCGGAGCAGGGCTGAAGTCTGAAGGTTTTGGGGAGGATCTTTCGCCTCCTCCCCTCCTCCCCACCCTCCTCCCCCTCCTCCTCCCTCCCCCTCCTCCTCCTCCCCCCTCCTCCTCCTCCTCCTCCTCCTCCTCCTCCTCCTCCTTCTCCTCCTCCTCCTCCTCCTCCTCCTCCTCCTCCTCGTCCTCCTCCTCCTGCTCCTACTTCGCCTCCCCTGGAGGGCTACGCCTGGGACTACCCAGACCCCAGGTGGCCCAAGGGGGCCAAGCTCGCGATCAACCTGGTGGTCAACTTCGAGGAGGGCTCAGAGGCCTCTTTCCACCACGGCGACAACATCACCGAGGTCGTGCTGACCGACGGGGCGCGTTCGTTCGGTGCTGGCACGCGCAACATGGGCGCGGAGTCGCTGTTCGAGTACGGCAGCCGCGTGGGCTTCTGGCGCATCATGAAGATGTTCGAGCAGCGCCAGCTGCCGTGCACGCTCTACGCCTGCGCCGTCGCGTTCGAGATGCTCCCGAAGAGCGCGGCGTACATTCGGGATCACAGCGACCGCATCGACGTCTGCTGCCACGGGTGGCGCTGGTGGCCCCAGCACAACATGCCCGAAGAGGTCGAGCGAGAGCACATCCGGCTGGCCGTGGAGTCGCTGCGGCGAACCCTCGGCGTCGAGGACGTGGCGCACCTGGGCTGGTACGGCAGGTACGCTCCCTCGGTCAACTCGCGCAGACTACTGCACGAGGCGGGCTTCAGGTACGATAGCGATTCCTACTGCGACGACATGCCATATTGGGACACCGTCGCGGGCGCGCCCCACCTCGTCATCCCGTACTCTATTCAGAACAACGACGCCCACCTGGCGTACGGCTCCATGCCAGGCATGGCGGACGCTTTCTTCGAGAGCGTGAAGAACAGCATTGACACGCTCATCGAGGAGGGCCGGCAGGGATCTCCGAAGATGATGTCGGTGGGGCTCCACCAGCGCACCATCGGGCACACCAAATTCGCGCCTGGGCTCCGAAAGCTGCTGGACTTCGAAGAAACGAACTGCATAAACATAAAAGCTTTCGGCGCTCCGCGCGGATCTCTTGGATCGGCGCTGGGTCCTCTCGGCGGCGCCTCCGGCGCCGCCGCGCCGCCGCGGAGCAGGGTCCCGGCGCAGATCTCGGGCCGGACGAAAGGGGGGGACAGGAAAAGGGGGGGGGTACGAACTCTGCTGCGTGCAGCTGGTTTCGGACCCACCGAGGGGCCCAATATTCGATACATTGCCGCCTCCGGCGCCGGGAGGCGCTGGGAAAATCAGCTACGTGAGCTGATTCTCACCCCCCCCCTTTGCTATCGCCCCCTTTCGCCTAGCCCGAAGATCCAAGACATCTTCGCGGACCGTCTACAGTTTGTGCTTCTGCCGCCGCCTCCTCCTCCTAGGACTACATCCAGTCGTTCGGGGACGAGATCTGGGTCGCGAGGCGCGGTGACATCTCCAGGCCCCCCGCGGCGCGCCACAAGGGGGCGGCGCGAGGGGCGGGGCCTGCGTGAGGCGGGAGGAGGAGGGAAGGCACTGCCGACGCACACCTTCCAGGCTGGCGAGACCTGGCAGGGAAGGGGCAGGGGTCAGGCTCTCGTGCCACCTCCTCCTCCTCCTCCTCCGCCTCCTCCTCCTCCCTCCTCCTCCTCCTCGTCCTCCTCCTCCTTCTCCTCCTCCTCCTCCTCCTCCTCTTCCTGTATGAAGGCCGTCTGTATGAAGGTCGGGCTCTCGTGTCACCTCCCCCTCCCCGCGGAGCATCTTTCGCACGCAGGATATAGTCTAGGCTGGGGACGGGGGAGGAGGAGGGAGGAGTGGGGAGGAGGAGGGAGGAGGTGGGACGAGGAGGGATGAGGGAGGAGGAGGATGGATGAGGGAGTCGAAGGGAGGAAGGAAGGGGGAGCATGAAGGAGAAACGCGAAACCTGAGGAACGATATGGTATAGCCACATCCCGCGCGCTCTGACGGGGCTACCTCGGGCGCGGTGGGAGGAGCGAGACAGAACAGGGACTGCACATGGTATAGCAACACTTCTCTCGCTCTGCTGGGGCCGCCCTTGAGGGGTGGGAAGGGGCAAAGAAACTTGTGAAATGATAGGGTATAGCGATGCCCCGCGATGCCCTGTTCGCTCTGGCGCTCTGGCAGGGCCGTCCCAGGAAAGGAGGGGTGAGCGCGAAAAGCTGGGGGGTGAGGGGGGGAGAGGAGAGAGGAGGGAATGGAGGCAAGGGGAGGGGGCGGGAGGGGAGGAAGGACGGAGGGGGGGGGGCCCGGGCCATCTGGGCCGTCTTGGATCCCGCTCTGTGGCCCAGCTTGGGCCTGTCCTGGGGCTCTCTTGGGCCGTCTGAGGCTCCTCCTGAGAAATTTGCGGGCTCCCTGGGGCCGTCTTAGGGCTCTTTTGGGTGCCTCTTCGGCGGTCTTGGGGCGGTCTTGGGGGCGTCTTCTGCCGTCTTCGAGCCTTGGAAGCTCGAGGACGCGAGAAAGCGCAAAACATCGAACGAACCAATGCAAGTCAATCTTTGGGCTCTCTCAGGACGTCTCTCGGAGCTCTCTTGTGCCCTCTTGGAGGCCTCTTGGGCTGTGTGTCTGCCGTCTTGAGCTCCTCTTGGGCCACGTCGGGATCATCTGGGCCGTCCTGGAGCGCCTTGGGGCCTCCCGCTCCCTCTCCGTGGCCCAGCTTGGGCCTGTCCTGGGGCTCTCTTGGGCAGTCTCAGGCTGCACTTGGGCAGTCTTCAGGCTCTCCTGGGCCGTCTTGGGGCTCTTTTTGGGGCCTCTTCGGCGGTCTTGGGGCGATCTTCGGGCGTTTCAGCCGTCTTCGAGCGTTGGAAGTTCGAGAACGCGAGAACACGAACAACATTTGACCGGAAAACAAATATACGGGCCTCTTCGGGCTCTCTCGGGACGCCTCTCGGAGCTCCCTTGGGGCCTCTTGGAGGGCTCTTGGGCTGTGTATTGGCCGTGTCGGGCCCTTCTGTAGCCATGTTGGGCCATCAGGGCCGTCTTGGAGCGCCTTGCGGCCTCGCGCTCCCGCTCTGGGGCCCAGCTTGGGCCTGTCCTGGGGCTCTCTTGGGCCGTCTGAGGCTCGTCCCGGGCAATATGCGGGCTCCCTGGGGCCGTCTTGGGGCTCTGTTAGGGGCCTCTTCGGCGGTGTTGGGGCGGTCTTGGGGGCGTCGTCGGCCGTCGTGGAGCGTCGGAAGGTCGAAAACGCGAGACACTGAAAAACATCGAAGCAACAAATGAAAATCAAGGATTCGGGCCTCTCCGGGTTCTCTCGGGACGCCTCTCGGAACTCTCTTGGGGCCTCTTGGAGGCCTCTTAGGCTGTGTACTTGCGGTCTGGAACCCATATGTGGCCACGTTGGGGCTATCTGGGCTGTGTTGGAGGGGCTTGTCGAAGTCCCCCAGGGGCTTCTGGGAACGTCTTGGAGCTCTCTGGGGCAGTCTGGGGGCTCCACAGACCCTCCAGGGTGCTGTGGGAGCGGTCTCGGAGGCCCCGGTCCCCCCTTGCGCTCTGCAGGTCATGGCCCCTGGCGGCCGGGTCTCTTGCGCGGGTATGTATGTATGTATGTATGTATGTATGTATGTATGTATGTATGTATGTATGTATGCATGTATGTATGTATGTATGCATGTATGTATGTATATGTATATATCTATATGTCTATTTATATATAATATATATATATATATATATATATATATATATATATATAGATATGTGTATATATATATGTGTGTGTGCATTAGCCAGCGTGGACCCAAACAATGCTTGTAGCAATCCGTGTTGTGCGATATGTGGTTCAATCTATGTATGTCAATCTACGGCGTGGTGCATCGGTTTGGCGCAACCGGTGTGCAATCCATGTGGTGCAGTATATGCGGTTCAATCTACATTGTGCAAGCTATATGGTATAGTCTAAATGGTGCAACGTATGTAGTGCGATCTATGTTGTGCAGTCGATATGGTGCAATTTATGTGGTGTAATTTGTGTTGATCATGATGTGGTGCAGTACACGTTGTGCAGTCCCTGTGGTGCAACCTATGCTTGTCAATCGAGGGCGGCGACGAGGCGGCGACGGGGCGGCGACAGCGACAACGGAGCCGCCGTACTGCCACTTTGGCTCAGACGACGGGCGGCGACGAGGCGGCGACGGGGCGGCGACGGCGACGACATAGCCGCCAGACCGCCACACCAGCTCCGACGACGGGCGGCGACAACGCGGCGACGGGGCTGCGACGGCCTGCACGGAGCCGCCAGATCGACAAACAAGCCCCGTCGACGGGCGGCGACGAGGCGGCGACGGGGCTCCGACGGCCGGCGCGGAGCCGCCAGATCGACACGCAGCCCGAGTTCTTCAGACGAGAAGTAAGAACACCTAAGTGCAATCGTTTTTTTGGTGGGATATACATATATACACAACATATAACATATACAGACACATACACATATACACACATTTGCACATACATATATATATATATATATATATACACATATATATATATATATATGCACATGGGGCGACGTTCACGCGATAGGGTGGCAGCACTGCGCTCACTGAAGGCATTGCCTCGAATAAGCTCAGTGCCACCATCTCTTCCTGACCGACGAGATCTATACCTGTCCATCGCACCTGGCTGGGCACATCCTGGGCCCAGGATCGGCGTATATGCTTCCCTGTCCAGACAGGGGGGGCGTGGACACCGCTCTGCCCTTCCCTTGCGCGCCGCCAGCCAGGCACTGGTGGGAGGCCAACCCGGGCGGCCTGCGGCCCGGCTCGAGGTGAGCTCGCGGAACCGCGCGCCGCGGCCGGGTAACGTGTGACCCTCGCTCGGAGGGGATGTCGCCGCCGCCGCACGCAATCGCTGCCAAGGCCGTCGTCGTCGTCGTCGTCGTCGTCGTCGTCGTCGTCGTCGTCGTCAACGCCGCCGACGTCGTCGCTGCCAGCGTCGCTGCCGCCGTCGTCGTCCCGACACCGCCGCCGAGGTCGCCGCCGCCGCCGTCCTCGCCGTCGGCGGCGTCGTCGTCGCTGGGAGCAGGCGGAGCCGCTCGCGCGTGCTCCGCGGCGTGCCCCGGCGGTGTGTCCGCCTGCTGCATGCGCCGCGGCGCCGCCCGCACTCTGCGCTGATCGCCCCGAGCCAGAGGGGTTCGACGACGGACGAAAACGACGACGACGACGACGACGACGACGACGACGACGACGACGACGACGACGACGACGACAGCGACGACGACGACGACGAAGACGACGACGACGACGACAGCGACGCCTACGACGACGATGACCGAGTAGACACCGACGGCGGGGGTCGACTTCGACGACGGCGGCGACTCTGACGGCGGCGGCGGCGGCGACGACGACGGTGGCGGCGGATGCGATGGCCCCGAGCTTTGCATGGAAAGGTTCTCGCCAGGCCCTACCCTGGGCCCCAGGTTTGTCAACGAAACCGGTACGGGACGAGAGGCTGGTTCGGAGAACCCCCCGCCGGTCCCAGGGTCCGTTCAGAACTTGTTTGGCTCAGGGCAGGCCGATGTGCGCTGGCCGCCTTCCTCCTTGTTTTTTTTAATGAATGACTGGCGATTGCCGCGCTCCCCCCCAGGAGAGGGAGGACATTGCGCCAAGATGCGTCGGTCGCACCTCCCTTCCTTCAAGTGAACGAAGGAGCACACAGTGTAAAATGACGCTTCCCCCAGAGTAGGAGGAGGAGCAGCAGCCGCAGGAGCAGAGGAGCACCTGCGCGGGCCCCATGGAAGCCAGGGGATCAGCTTGTCGCCATCCTGGAGACAGCCTGAGAGGAGCGCTCACTTCTAATTCTCTATGTCTCTAACATGGGGTCGGTGTAGATGGGGTCGGAGGATCGCGCCGCATCGCCGACGCATCGCCGATGAGGCTCGATGTGCAGCCCGATATGCTTCACGTCGACGTCGCCGATGCATCGCCGGTGTCGACGATGCATTGCCTGTGCATCGCCGATGCATCGCCGATGCATCGCCGATGTATCGGCGATGCGTCGCGATCTTCCGACCCCATCTACTCCGACCGCATCTAGGAGGCCTTTAAATTCAGGGGCACAACGCTACTGCCCCCCTCCAGTCGGCACCTCTCGTCGCTAACTCGCGGCCGGAATCGGAAATGACCAGAGCCAGAAACGAAGAGTGAGCGTGCGTGCGTGCGTGCGTGCGTGCGTGCGTGCGTGCGTGGGTGCGTGTGTGTGTGTGTGTGTGTGTGTGTGTGTGCGTGTGTGTGTGTGTGTGTGTGTGTGTGTGTGTGTGTGTGTGTGTGTGCGTGTCTGTGTGTGTGTGTGTGTGTGTGTGTGTGCGTGTGCATATGTGCTTGTGTGTGTATGTGCTTGTGCTAGTGCTTGTGCTTGCAATGTGCGTGTGCTTGTGCTTGTGCTTGTGCTTGTGCTTGTGCTTGTGCTTGTGCTTGTGCGTGCGCGCGCGCGTGTGTGTGTGTGTGCGTGTGTGTGTGTGTGTGTGTGTGTGTGTGTGTGTGTGTGTGTGTGTGTGTATGTGCGTCTTCGCGTATGTGCTTGTGCGTGCGTGCGTGTGTCGTGCGTGCGTTCGTGCGTGCGTGCGTGCGTGCGTGCGTGTGTGCGAGTGTGTGTGTGTGTGTGTGAATGTGTGCGTGCGTGTCTCGACGCTGCGCGCGAGGCCGCGACCGCCCAAAGAGTGCGTGCGTGTGTGCGCGCGTGCGTGCGTGCACGGCATGGGACCGCTGCAAACCATACGGCCCTGGCAAGCCCCGTGGCCGCTGCAAATCTCGGCCTCGGCCGCTGCAAACAGTGGCTGCAGCAAGCCCTGGGGCCGGAGCAAACCGTGGCCCTGGCCAGTCTGGGGCCGCTGCAGACAGCGGGCCCCGGGGCCCGGCCACGGTTTGCAGCTGTCTGGGTCCCGCTGGGGCCACGGTTTGCGGCGGCCTGCGGCCCGCCGGGGCTGTGGTCTACGCAGGTCTGGGGCCCGCCAGGGCCACGGTTTTTGCAGCGGCCCAGGGCCCGTGGGGGCTGCAGTTTGCCATGGCCCGGGGCCCCCGCCGGGGCTACAGTTTGCTCTGGTCTGGCCTGGGGCCTGCCAGGGCTACAGTTTGCCCTGGCCCGGGGCCCCTCGGGGCCGCGGTTTGCCGCTGCCTGGAGCTCGCCGGGGCTACCGTCTGCGGCGGCCCGGGGCCCGCTGGGGCCATGGTTTGCAGCGGCCAGGGGCCCGCCGGGGGCTCCGGTTTGCGGCGGCCCGGGGCCCGTCAGGGCAACGGTTGGCTGCGGCGGCCTGGGGCCTGCCAGGGCCACGGTGTGCGGCGGCCTGGGGCCCGCTGGGCCGCGGTTTGAGTGCAGCTGCCCAGGGCCCGCCGGGGCCGCGGTTTGAAGCCGTCAGGGGCCCGCGGGGGCTAGGGTCTGCGGCGGCCCGGGGCTATGGCTTGCAACGGCCAGGGGCCCGCCAGGGCGAGGCTGTGTGGCGGCGGGGCACGCCGGGGCAGCGGTTCGCGGCAGCCCAGGGGCCGCCGGGGCTGTGGTTTGCTGCGGCGGCCCAGGGCCCGGGGCGATAGTTTTTTT